CGCGTTCCGCGCGCGCCTCAAAGAGCCATCAGACCACCACAGATGGGGCCCAATAGGGCCGATGCCGATTCGGAGTCGCGGAGAACCTAACGGGTAACCGGGGCTCCGGCTCGACGTGCAGGAGAAGGAACGGGGTGGTTTTTAGTCAGTAAGAGTCTGACACTCCCTTCCGCCTCACCCAGGCCTTGAGCAGTCATTCGATGATTTTCCCCCCTTAAAAAAAAAAAAAAAGTCCATGAATAAAATGAATTCGGTTAATTGAATTCGTATTTTTTATTTTAAATCTCTGATTTTCTTGCAGCTAAACACTATTATTAGTCCTTGAAAACAGTTTTCTATTAGCAGTCAAAAGCTTAAGCAATATAAGGAGTTTTATGGTAGTATTTTCAAACATCGGGTAACATTATCAAAAATTTTACATGATTCCCTTTTCTCTCTCTTATTAAATATAGCCTATTTTATTTATTTATTTTATTTATTTGTTCATGTACACAACACGTGTACGTGTACTCGTTACGATTACGTTAAACGTAAAACAAACTCGTACTAAGGCCTCTGGTATGTCTATTACTCTTTCACGCGAAAAACCTACAGAAAGGATTTTATTTGGAATAATACATGGAATAATTTTTATTCCGGAAACGCAAGCAACGCAACGGATGCGGTTTTTTTTAATAGATAGAGTGATTCTTAAGGAAGGTTTATATGTTTATTAAATGCATATTGCACCCGTGCGAAGCAGGGGCGGGTCGCTAGATAATAATGAAGAAATTTTCATGAAATAAAGTCACCGTAACATCCTACCTGAAATAAACTTCTGTTTCAGTCTTGCTGTTTATATTACTGGATTAATAGCCTCAAAGAACAAGGCAATTATAATGAAACTAGCTGCGTAGAATAATGACTTCTGGCAGATTTTGTCTTTTACGGCTGTAACAAATGTTGTCAAAATCGATTCAGTACAATACGAGTTAAAATTGTGAAATTCGTTTATTTTTGTGTTTTCAAATAAATAACCCGACAGGTCCGAGTCCCGAGAGTCCCGCTCCTGGGGATTTTTTTTTTAAGGGGGGAAAGTCATCGAATGACTGCTCCCGCCTGGGTGAGGCGGGAGGGAGTGTCAGACTCTTACTGACTAAAAACCACCGCGTTCCTTCTCCTGCACGTCGAGCCGGAGCCCCGGTTACCCGTTAGGTTCTCCGCGACCGCTCCTGGGGATAAAAACTATAATAGGTACGTCGTTTTACATGAGGTCTTAAACTATCGTTGTACCGTAGTATTTCACTCAAATATGTAGGTTCAGTCGTTTCTCCGGTTGAAAATTCTCGTGGGATTTTCCAGTTGAAAAGACTCAGACGAACGGTTCCGGGTCCTATCCTATTTAATCAAATTATCAAAATCGTATATAGGTACAAACTTTGGGGGTAGAATTGATCAAAAGCCTTTCTTAGCGGATGCCTACGTCATACGCTGACAAGGGACAATTACCTACATATTTTACAGGCATTGATTTCATGCCATAGTTTCATGCACACAAGATATACCTAATAAAGTGTAGATTTTTCCCCTGTACTTATTATACTCTTTGGTGTAGATGTAGACCAAAGAGTATGATAACTATAATACTAGAGTAACACGCAGGCGCATAGAAGCAAAGTGCACCAACATAATAATCATGCTTATTTCCGGTCTAAATTGTTTATGGTTCTGTCAAAATAGTATACACTATACAACATTTTATGATACCAATAAGGTACCCAAAGGTACGGCTGTAGCTTGGCAAAAAAGAATTGATGCGGTTACAGTTGAAACTAATATTGACTTTTATCATGGACTGAATCACCATCCAACAATCATTTCAGACCATATCCCATGATTAAATCATCATTGGAAATTGATAAAAATAACAAATATCAATACCGAACCGTCGTAATGTGCCAGGTTCCCACAGGTACGTTGTACGATATTAGCGACCTCCATTATTTCAAACTATTATTTGTCAAGTGATATCTCGATAATTTTTTGGGAATATTCATTGATAAAAGTAAACGGAATAAATAAAATGCAGTCATTTCTATAGAATCAGCATATTATTACCATTTTACGGATTTCTGTGCCGAAAAAGTCTTATTTACTTTCTTCACTTATTGTGGTTGTCGTTGTTCTATGTACTGTACTTATGTTGTGTGAGTGTTTATGTTATGCACACAAAAAAAAATCCAAAAAGAAATTAGTTCCAATAAGTCTTTTAAAAATTAGGTACGTTTAAAAAACCGACTTTAGTTCCTTCTTTTTTAGAAGCCGATTTGTAATATACTAAATCCCCCTCTTAAGTAAGAGGGTAACAAACGGTTTTTTGAAAACCACATCAAAGTCATACATGTGTGCATACTTCATTTTCTTAAAGTCGGTTATAAACGTATCAAACTACAATATTACTTACTCCGAGTTTAGGATATATATGATTTGTTGGACAATGAACAGTGATCTTTAAATTAGTTAGGCTTTTATAATCTGTAGGATATCCACAGATTAAATTTCATATTTTGTATCTATGCTCTTTGTGGTTGATTGACTTATCCATAGATTCGTCAAGTTTTGCAAAATTATTAATCACTTCAACTACAATAACGTTTTAATTTTATTTATTCGTTTACAATAGTATTATAGAAATCAATTACGAATTAACTTACTACGAGTGACTAATAGATTAGTGTACAAGTGGTAGTCAATTACGTGCAGTAATTTTCATATGATGTGTAAAATAATTTGTTTTATTGAGTGTTAATTTACTTTTCAGTTGCTTCTTTTGTTATAACAAGTTTATACGAATGCGTAAATAAATAAACCCTAAAAGCTGTAGCTCAACTGTAGCTACCATAACTAATTTTGACTATTGGAAATGTACTAGGCTGCTTCGAAAAATAATGCAATGTACGCTCCAGATAATAGAAGAAAGGATGCCAGAGATGTTATTTATCGCAGCAATTCTAGTCTTGACTTGATATATGCTGAACATCCCTCCGGGAATGGTTTGAGACGGGAGTACGGAAGTCATGGTTCAATTGACGTAATTGGTGGTGCAAACGATCGGTTACCCGCAATGGTACACAGCTACAGCGGTGTGTCAGCTCCAGACAAGACACCCGGTCTCAACCGCACCGTAGATAGAATTGCTGATGGCCTTACAACTGACCATGCAGATGGTCCTCCATCAAGATCGAGTGCCAGTCCAAAACCGCGACTCAAATTGAATAAACTATGGGGTGGTGCAGCACCTGTGTTGAATCGTCCATCTCTGGACGATGGTGGGCTTTCAAGTGTAGCTGATGTTAACAAGAGGAAGCAGTTTGCTCACTATGATTGCCAATCTCTTATGGCTAACTTAACTTATGCGGCTGAGATCCGTGGAGCTTTGTTGAGCAGGCGTCGAAATACTACAACTGGAGCATCTGCTGCATCTTTACTTGCAACCCGTGGACTACCTCCTGGAGAAGATGCAGTGCCAGATACAGGAGATGGAAGATCAAATGAGTTGTTAGAAAGCTGTCCCTTCTTCCGAAATGAGTTGGGAGGTAAGTCTATCATTTCTACACAAACAAACATTGGCTTACTCTCTACACAGCAGTATTCAAATTTGTATCAGTAACAGTTTCAAGATGTTTTCATATAGAAACAAAATAGGGAAATAAAACACTATATGCATTATACTGTCATAAATACCATAGGACCATTACAACATTACTATTGTGACATCTGTGAACCAGGTGACACAAATTGTGCTCTCACACTTGACATTGTTATTGGAACAATCAAGACTGTAATTGGAACACATTTGTGTTTGTTTCGTATTAACTATTTCCATTGCCTTACACAAAAACTCGAAAACAATAATTCTAAAAGTCTGTAATATTATTAGTATTTATTTATTATCTTATTCATATGCACAATGTACATATAGAAGTACATTTTTATTTTTATTTTTATTTTATTTTATTTTATTTATTTAGAAAACCAACAGCGATACATATGATATAATACAAAATAAAGATATTACAGTTTAGTAAGGCTAATAATAGGTTTCCCTGCTTAACTTAATTTGTGCCATGTGTACAACCATGCGAACGGACTTTAAACAATATTTAAAAATAAAGTTTTAATATACAACTAGTACTGTACATTACCTTAATAGGGTGCAGCAATTCAACTTATAACTAGATAATATATTATAATCATATAATAACATGCTATATTTATTATTATATTAGTTACTAACATAATGGCCGCTATAAACTTATTTATTCTTAGACATATTATCACATTCACTTTTATGCAGTATTATACAAAAAATTCATTCACAGTAAAATGTTACATAAAGTTAACTGAAATTTATTACTACTACTTTCTTTTCTTCTGTATTTTTAACTGAGTGTGAGATACAAGTAGAGCTTCATACCTGTATCAAAGTGTATTAATAATTTTTCTTATGCCAAACCTAATGATATCAAATGTGATGATTTTAATACAGACATGGAAAAGGTTAAATAACTTTGCTTAAATCTTAGATGAAATGTGTAATTTCTACAATAGGTTTATGAGCACAAATTGTGTGTAAGTAGCCACAGGATGGAAGACATTCAATACAAAAGTGTGGGTGTATCTATCAGTCAACTAGAAGTTTCGTTAAAATGTGGACTTCCTACAACAATTTCCATGCAGTTTGTCTTTGTTGAATAATCCACAAACTGTCATGTTCTTGAATAATCCACAAACTGTCAAATACTTCATATCTTTAATAATATTTTGTTATGTATTCATTATACAATTTACACTTTCTTAATTGTCTTAAATTGTGATTGAATTATTAATTGAACATTGTTTAAATTTTATGGTTCCATTCAACATAACTTATTCATTAATGCAACAATTACTGCGCATCCAGTCATGCATTGCCGGTGTACAGTTACAAACAACTAAGATAAATATTACATAGACATATGTATAAAGCATATTCCAGCCATAATGGAACTTATGTCAAAAACTTAAATTGGTTCAAAGATTTTTGAATTACAATCAGATATTAATTTTTGCCATCAGAAAATGGTTTGTTGCTGATTTCTGTTCGAAATTAACCTTCATTGTTATCTAAAGATACATTGATATCTACAGTTTGTTATTCTAATCATGTTTTAAATACCTACATTAAAAAGAAAGATGTGCCAAATTGTTTTATTTCATTGAATTATTTTAGTAAATAGTTATTAGCAGCCCATTACTGTTTAGCTTATTGATTTTGTATTGAACTGTACTCCACTTGGTGTAGTATACATGATGTACATCTACTTTTTATTGTAAAATAGTTGCACTTTCATTTATTACTGCTTGTTTCTTTGTTAGAAAAAAATGCATTTACACAAGTGAAAATTAATAGCTAACTTATATTAATAAAATATTGTGAGAAAATTATTTCAAGAAACACTTCTTTATTAGCATACTTGTCTTTTGTTTAGATTCCCAGGATAAGAAAAGTATTATTCTGTGTTCTATTATATGAAAGGATTAGTAATAAAATAAGAAATATTTACATAAAAGTGGATGCTTATGATACAATACACAATCACACATCTCATCCCTATGGAAAAAAACTTACAATAAGTTGATATTTATGCTATTATAGAAATAACAAATCTTAAATAGAAATTATTAACAATATTAATATTTTTTCAGGTGAAGAAGAACGATGTGTGTCACTATGTTGGAAGACTGCTCGCGGCGCTATACTAGGCCAGTCAGGAGGCTGGCACCGTCCTCGCGCCGCTTACGGGATTTCCATGTTAGAGTTCCCTCCCGGACAAACACACTGGCGTCATGGCTGCCCATTTGCCAGATCTCTTTCACCATTCCCTATAGAAAGCCAGGACTTAGGAGCTTTGTACTACAGGAATTATTTCTACAATCAACGTAAGTGAATCTGTGATCCTGGTGTACATAATATTGTTTTGCAAGAATAGCTCAAATTTGAAAAGCTTTTGGACTGTAAAAATGTTGTCTTTTTCTGTGCAAAGACGTAGTTTTCCTATTTACTTTATTATTTTTACAGCTCATCAAAATTGGTTTGGTATGGACGAAAATCTCGGTCCAGTGGCGATATCTATAAAGAAAGAGAGGGTAGAACTGCGTCGTGGAGGTGGCGATGTGTCTGCTCCCGCGTCCCAGTTGGCGTGGCAGTATCGCCTCATCTTACGAACCTCTGAGTTGCTCACACTACGTGGGTCCGTGCTCGAAGATGCTTTGCCTACGACCAAACCTAGCAACAACAGTGCTACCTATAACACTAAAGATATACTGGAATATGTTGCGCCAGAGCTGCAAGTTAGCTGCTTAAGGTAAATTTTGTCACTTTGGAATCAGGCTATCTTTAGCTCAATACAATTTTGCGATTAAAATTTTATATGGAATGACATTCATAAAAACCATCATTAAATTTCAGGCTTGGTATCAACAATGGTGGAGCCGAAGAACAACTGTTACGACTAGATGAACAATGCGTTACGAGACATTACAAAGTCGGTGTCATGTACTGCAAGAGTGGTCAGTCAACTGAAGAAGAAATGTACAATAACCAAGAAGCTGGACCAGCTTTTGTAGAGTTTCTCAAGATGTTAGGCCAAACAGTTAGATTAAAGGACTTTGATAAGTATAAGGCTGGTTTGGACAACAGGACTGACTCCACGGGACTGTACTCCGTGTTCACCACGTATCAGGGTTGTGACATAATGTTCCATGTATCCACCATGCTGCCGTATACTCCGAACAACCGACAACAGTTGTTGCGGAAGCGACACATCGGCAACGATATTGTAACCATTGTCTTCCAAGAGCCTGGTGCGGCGCCGTTCACTCCGCGCAACATCCGGTCGCAGTTCCAACATGTTTTTGTTGTAGTTAGGGCTATAGATCCATGTACAGAGAATACACATTATAGTATAGCTGTGAGTCGTGCTAAAGAAGTGCCTTTGTTTGGACCTCCGATAAAAGATGGTGCGATATACCCGAAGGGCGAAGCGTTCACTGACCTATTGTTAAGTAAAGTAAGTTAATTTCTTTCACAAATTATTAAAAACTATTTAAGTGTTTGATAAGGATGTCAATAAAATGCCCTAATTTCTTTTTAGGTTATTAATGGCGAAAACGCTGCTATTCAATCACCAAAGTTTAGTACAATGGCAACGCGCACGCGTCAAGAGTACCTGAAAGATTTAGCGAAGAATTATGTAACTGCAAGTACTGTCGAAACGGGACAAAAGTTCTGTAAGTATCCAATCATCATCCATTCTTTATTTTCGTAAACTTACTAAAAATACTTTAATTCTGACAATATGTTTTGTTTCTGTGTTTCAGCAATTTTCTCGTCATTACTGATGAAAAGTGGCAGTAACTCGACAAACAACACTTTGATCACACGAGTCGACAACTGTACGAACGATGTCTTGGTTGGTGGCGCTCTCTGTTTCCACGTAAGTTAATTGGTTCTAAAGTGGATGTTGGATGCTTGTCAAACTTACCAATCTGGAAATATACCAAACTAGAGAGAAAAGTTTTCCATGTTCAGCAATGTTTTTTTTGTGACTGACATAGTAATTAAAGCCACTAAAGTTGCATAAATACAGATTTTTTACCTCTGTCTGGGTTTAAAACCAATTCTGGACTGCTAAGTTAGTTTAACCTTAGTTTGGTATAAAGTTTTGCCTTGTAAACTAAACTAAAACTTCTATTATCTTCAACCTTATCAAGAGTAATGATAATCTGAAATAAATAAATTCATAAGATAAATACACATGTAAAATAAAGATAAAATGTGAATATTGTGTGCTAATTAGTATTATATGTAAATGATTACAGGTGCAAGTACAAGATGAAGGCGCAGGCGGTTCCCTGCTGGATTGCATCATGGGTGTGTCGGCAGATACCGTGGTGTTCGTCGAGGATAGTACCAGGCAAATTGTACTTGTTCTACCTACCAACTCTTTACTTGGTGAGTTTAGACTACATGATTATCTACAAATAACTCCACCACACTGTGTTCAAATTATGTATCTGACAAATAATGATAACATAGCGAAATGGTCACTCAGATGATGATTTGAAAGGTAGAAAGACCATTTGTATTTCTTCGATAGCAGTTTCCTGAATTTTCAGTATGTATAGTGTGCTTCCACTACTCTATTTGTGAGGATGTATCATTTATATAAATATTTGCTGCACATTCATGTAAAACCTACTAGGCAGATTTGGACGAAATGTGTTACAGATTTTGTATGTTGTAATTCGTTTTGATATGTGAAATAATATAATGATCGTATAATTGAACAACGTCTGTTTGCAGGGTGGGTGGTGAGTGGCGGCTGGACGCGCGTGTACTACCACCGCGGCGAGAGCGTGCGGCTGCGCGGCGGCGGGGCGGCGCTGGCGCGGCGCCTGGCCGCCGTGGGCCCGCCGCACGCGCGCGCGCTCGCCGAGCTCACGCTCGAGCGGGGCGCGCAGCCGCAGCTCGGTAACTATACACTAACATTTTTTTTTACACCATTAGCCCAAGTACTTACGAGTCAGTGCAGTGCAGTATAATAGAGATGATGACAGAGTCCGTACATACATACGTAACCTCACGCTTGTCTCCCATGGGGGTAGGCAGAGACTATGAAACGCCAATTGCTACGATTCTTACATACCTCCTTCGCTTCCTTAACAGCCGTCTTTTCATGCATGCTCGTAGTTTAAAGGTACTTTTAATTTTGGCGTTCTTTAATATATCACGAATCTGGTCGAACGGGGTATGAAAATTAAAAATGTATTTAATATGTCAGTTAGGCAATTAAAAGACATGAGGCACATATTTTTTTTATCTTGCGCTGTAAGAAAACAATACTTAAATAAGCCGAATCAAAGTTTAGAAGTGGGAGCTAGTTTCGATATTTCTACTTATGAGATCTATCTATCTAGAAGTGATACACGCGAAAATCCAAATCAATATCAATAATAATATAATATCAAAAATATTTGTTTCATAAGACAATAAAAAATACGTGTCTAATGTTTTAAAATAATCTACCAGACGAACATTAAAATAAGTCATCTACCCTATTATCTTCGTTCGGCCTATAACTTGCTTAGTTATTTAGAGGTCATTGTAGCATGTTTTTTTCCATTCTCCCATAGTAACTCTATCCGGGGCTCCGGCTCGACGTGCAGGAGAAGGAACGGGGTGGTTTTTAGTCAGTAAGAGTCTGACACTCCTTCCCGCCTCACCCAGACGGGAGCAGTCACTCGATGATTTTCCCCCCTTAAAAAAAAATCCCTTTTCTTTCATATTATTATTTCTTGTGAAATGTATGCATTGCGTAGAATGTCGTGACTCTTTCCTTTCAACTCTTTGTTATTTAAATTCATCGCTAAATAGGTACTACGTAAAACCCATACAAAAAATCGTTAATTTTGAGTTTTTTTGTGGATATAGCATAATTTGTTTCGTTCCTCAGGATTCCACGTCCAGCCGGACGGGCTAGTGACACTAGTGGAGAGCTCGGGCTGCGCCGCCCGCGCCGGCATCAAGCGCGGCGCGCGCCTGCTGGAAGTGTGCCGCGCCGCCGTGGTCGCGCTGCACCACGACCAACTCGTAGACCTGCTTAAAACCTCGGATCCTGTTACCGTGAGCTACATTAAGGATATACTTAACTAACTCAACTATTGTTATAAGTTTAAATACCCTAACAATACTACGCACATAACATCACGCGTTTTGTCCCCGGAGGGGTAGGTAAAGGGGCACGATTCGGCATTTAGTACCACTGTATAATATAATGTAACACAATTGCAGACTCCGTACTATTACTGAGATTTTTTTTAAAACCCAATATTACTTTTGCTCGACCCGGGAATCGAACCTGAGGCCCTTTGCGCGGCAGTCACACTTGCGACCACTCGACCAACGTAACAGTCGGCAGTCAGTAACAAAACAGTTATATAGTAATTAATTAGTTGCTTAACCCTGATACGATGCCACTGTTGTCATTTAGCGCACTTGCTTATGTTTTATGGAATAAGCATCGATACCGTTCGTAAACACTTGAAACACCGGAAGATATACAAGTATGTTGTCGGTCTTCTAGGGATTCAGGGAGAATTGAGCGTTGCATGTATGTGATTGAATGTGTTTTGTATGTGTGACGGTTACGTCGTGCAGGTGACGGTAACATTCGCGTCGAGCTCGAGGTGCCAGTGCGAGGCGGGGCTGGAGGAGGGCGGGCCGGCGCCGGGCCGCGGGGACGCGCAGCAGCCCGGCCGGCCGCGCCGCGCCTTCGAGCGGGGACACTCGCCGCCGCGCTCCGACAGCTCCGGATATGGAACTGGTCAGCACTACTTCCCTCTGTACTTGTTACATATCGACTAACAGCCTAAATTGGGCACTTGCCAACTAGTCAAATTCAATACTTTTTTTCGAACTGCCAAAAACGACAGCTTTCTATGAATTTTGTTAATAATTAAAATTTTCTTGGAAAAATATTAAAGTTATTTTTTTTATAAAATCATGATTATTTATTAATACTTATTTGATTGTATTAAACAGTCGATATAACTTATTTTTCATTAAGGCAAGTACCCAATTATAAGTATCTGACTAAAATTAAGATACATTTTGGATTAAGATTAGTTATTAATTTATGTCGTGAAAGGTTGCCACAGGATAAGTTATTCATAAAACTTCTATAATAAGTAGAATAGCCATGTGTGACCGATGAACACTATCAGTGCAGCTGTAGGGAATGGCTGCTACTGTTAAACTTTTTCAACCCAAATTATATTGGCTATATAATTGGAAATATTACCTCAATTTTTTTCATTTTTGCAACACTTTCAATATAGTAATTTGTCTTTAAATGAGATGTGTAACCTGTGTCGTCCAGGTGGGTCGTGTCGCAGCGGTCGGCGGTCCCCGCAGTCGTCCCCGCGGCCCGAGGCGGCGCGGCCCGAGGCGGCGCGGCCCGAGGCGGTGCGGCGCCGCTCGCACGACGACGCGGCCTCCCCGCGACACAACCGACACAAACGGGCCTCCGCCAACACTTCCTCGCTTACTGTAAGTACTTATTGCAAATTTATAATGTCTTCTAGAATATTCTAGAGTTTATCATATTAGCATTAATCTTTAGTAGTCATCTTAAGACGTCCATGTTTAGATTTTTTTGCGGTGTGGTGCTAAAAGACATTTCTATTGTGCTGTGATTTTTTGCTATCACCTGCTCTCCTCGCAGGTGTCATATAATAGCCGACTAAGCGGTATTTAATAAACCTTTCAAACTGCAAGCTGCCTACCGCGTGTCCACATTATGGCAAGGTGATGATGTGATACCGAGTGTAGAGGAGGCCCATAGTTCAGCAGAGGACTCTCACGAGCTGTATATAATGATAAATTCTGACTTGTAGGAGGATCTGATCCGAATGATGGACGCGGAGCTAGGCGAGGGTGGTCGGGGCTCCGCTGTGAGTAGTAGCGGGGGCCCCGGGCCGGGCGGGGCGGCGCCCCTGCCCCTGCCAGATGCTGGAGCCCTGGACTGGGCCGCGCTCGTACATACCGCCACGAGGGCTATGCTTCAGGTAACTATACAGTGCATTGTCTAAGTAAGAAAATAAATGTAGATTATATTCTTTACGGTAAAATTCTTACATTTTTTTGGTAAAATTCTTTTTTATTCATCAACATAATCACCTTTTAGGGTGATACAATCGTTCCAACGCTTTTCCAATTTTTCAATACCATATTTATAAAAAAAAATATCTTTCGCTTCAAAATAAGCTTTAGTTTCTGCGATGACCTCCTGTTGATCGATTTACCTTTTTCGAGGTAGTCAATGAAAATCACGCCATGCGTATCCCAAAAAACTGACGCCATGACTTTGCCAGCTGATTGCTGCGTTTTCGGACGCTTCGGACGGCTTTCGCCAGCTGTGCGCCACTCAGATGACTGCCGCTTCGACTCTGGAGTGTAGTGATGTATCCATGTTTCGTCCATGGGCACGTAACTACGCAAGAAATCTTTTTTGTTGCGAGTAAATAGCGATAAACAGCTTTCTGAATCATCGACTCGTTGCTGTTTTTGTTCCATCGAAAGCAATCGCGGCACCCACTTGGAAAAAACATTTTTCATGCTCAATTTTTCATGAAGGATAGTAATTACACTTCCATGTGATATCTGTGTCATCTCAGCAATCTCACGGAGCTTCACTTTACGATCTTTCATTATAATTTTTGTCACTTCACTCACATTTTCCGGTGTAACGGCTTCCACAGGTCTACCCGAGCGTTCCGCGTCATTTGTGTCGGTATGACCAGGTTTAAACTCGACAAACCACCGACAAATCGTTGCTTTTGATGGACAAGAGTCCGGGTAACATTTTTCAATCCATTGTTTCGCTTGCACGGTGTATTTACCCATTAAAAATAATGTTTTATCAGAACACGAAACTCGGTTTTTTCCATTTTTTAAACAAATTACAAAACAACTTTACTCCAACCTCGATAACTCCGCTGTTTCTAGTCCGATCGACTTAAAATTTTGACACGTTTCAAGCAAAGGTTAGTACTCTAGAAAGACGTGGTTACTAACCAGTAACCACGTCTTTCTAGTAGTAATGTGCTCGTAGTAAACCTACTACGAGCACCATCTCTGGGTTAGTCTCGGGACTTATTGATCCATGTGATAGTTAGCACCAAGCACCATTTACTTCCATCCTTAAATACACATGTCGGAACGATCCGACGAACGTTCCGACACACACATATTTCTTTATTTTTATGCATGCAGACAAAACTACAGATTATTTTTCAGTGGTGCTCTTTTTTCCATTGATTCTATGCTTCTTTTCACTATCGATACTAAAACCCTACATGTCAACTCAAATCTTTTTCTAGATCTGTGAAGAACATCAATACCCGTCCATGGACAATACGGATCCTTCATTGGAGACGCTACCGATAGAACCTACCACCGATTCTTGGAATGACGTCAATACTGTAAGTGAAATACTTGTAATAAGTAATTTAGATTATTAGCGAGAGGGAGGACGACCCCCTCTCGCATCCGACGCGAAGACGGCGAACGGGACAGAGGAGGCGCGGGTATGCCCGCCTCCTTCCTCCTCCCTAGTAGCTAGTGGGGCTAGTGGCTGGTCGGAGCAACCGGTCGCCCACGTTGCAGTGCCCCGAGAGGGGGCGGCATCCGCGGTGTGCGCGGGCGCCGCCCGCAGGAGAAGGAGCCCGGCGTTTCGTTATGCCGGACTGGCGCAGGGCGGGTCGCGAACGAAGTGCGAAAGTACAGTTCTTGTGGCCCGCCCTCATGCGTGAGTGGCACACCCCGGGGTTTTTAGTGGGTTCGAGCCCCACATAACCCGGCCTCGGCCCCGCGAGGCCAGGTATGCACGGCATTTTCACCGGGCGAAAAAAAAAAAAGTCACCGATATTTTAGAGGAGAATGCTACTACCAGTCCATCGGTGATTGGTTGCAGTTCTAGAACTTACCGGTTTTACAACTAGACTAAAGTAGAAGTATTTTATGATACTTGAGTGTAGTACTTACCACACACACACACACTATAAAATACTCATACCGTCTATCAAACGTTACACTTTTAGAACATGCTCTTCAGGTCCACAGTTAGGCAATGAACCGACATTACAATATATACAATTGAGCGACACTAGCGGAGGATTTATTACCTCGCAACTTTTCTGTCGCAAGCCAAAGGATTAAAGAAAATAAATTTCCAACAGACGACAGAGACAGTTCCCGTGGCCACACGAGATGATGGCGCTACGGATGCGTGTGCGTGTGGACTGGCGGCGCGCGTCGCCGCGCTCGAGACCGACGCCGCCGCCGCGCAGCGACACAGGCACCAACTCGAGGAAGAGGTAATGTAATTATAATAACTAACATAACATCACATCACGCCTTTTATCCCCGACGGGGTAGGCAGAGGTGCACATTATGCCACAGTGCAATGTAACACCCACTTTTCACTATTTATGTTATGAGTCCCATGTAATAGGGGGTTTACAATTCTAGACTACTGACTGCTACTACTGACAATTTTTTAAATAATTTTGAAAAAAATAAATTAATAAAACTACTAATTACTATTAACCCTTGTGGTGAGAGTTTTGAATCGTTCATACCAAACATATTGTCGACTGCTGCCTTTGAGCGCGTGTTATGCTGTTTAAGTGCTTATCGTTTTTCCATATACAGTCGACTCTCGTTAATTCGAAATTCTGGAGATATTACCAAAAGTATAAAAATGTATTGATTTACTTCGAAAAATCTAGAGATTTTCTAAGGACCTCGTAATAACTTCGAATTACACTATTAACGAGTGTCGACTGTATATTTAATATCTCGTTTACGCCGAACCGACTATACGCTATTCCGCAGTGCGTTGGCGATAGTGAGCATACTAACAGTTGGCGGACAATACGTTTGGTGTAATTGATGCCTTTACCTCCATTGCTTCTCTTCCCATGGCTGTCGTAAGAGCGCGACTAAGGAATTACACAATTTTAATAAATTGAAATTGAACCTGTGTGGAGGTTACTCCAAATCCTCTTATGTAGGTAAATGAGGTCGTAGTCTGGCAGTGTATTGTCATGGGCAACAGCCCATAACTAACAAGTTATGATGAATAATAGCTACTTCCAGTGGCTTTGTCCCTGTTATCGATACAATAGGTAACCTATGTATCATTCTAGTTATCGCCTATCTATGGGTCAAAAATATACCAACGTATTTAAATAATAAACTCCCATACAAATATAATTTATAATTAGCATTACTCAAAGTTATACCGACTAGTAGAAGCAAATTATCAATAATAGTGGCTCGCGATAGTTTCGCGCCAATCTTATATCGATCAATTTCCAAATAGTTATTTTATTTCATACAATTCTTCCTTGTATTGGCTATATGCAAGACTAGCAGCCCGTCCCGGCTTCGCTCGGGGTAGACAATTATTTATTTTTGGAAATTTGGATTGTTGTATTTGGACTGCCTCGTTGGCCGAGTGGTCGCAAGTGCGACTGCCGGGCAAAGGGTCTCGGGTTCGATTCCCGGGTCGGACAAAGTATTACTGGGTTTTTTAAAAAAAAATATTCTCAGTAGTAGCACGAAGTCTGGAATTGTGCCCGGTATATGGCAATAGGCTCACCCCCTATTACATGGGACTCGTAACATAAATAGTGAAAAGTGGGTGTTACATTGTACAGTGGCATAATGTGCACCTCTCTCTTTTTTTTCAAAATGAAATGTAGCCTATGTCAAATTGGAAGAATGTAGCATTCTATTGGTGAAAGAACTTTTTTAAATCGGCCCATTACTTTTTGTGCCTATTCATTACAAACACAAAAATAGGTACAAATCTTTCCTCTTTATAATATTAGTACATTTTAGTTTATAGATACAGCAAAAAATAATAATTGAATAGGTGTTTAACAACTTACAATCATTAATTTTATCATATCAGATTGTTTGACAGCATTGACACTAATAAAGCTTAAAAAATCGTTCGATCATCATTCACTGATTTTGGAACGTCACAGTTTTAAAAACTTTTTGAAAAATTACCGTTTAGCGCTTTATCGGATGCATTACCAGAATTTTAAATCAGTTGTTAATAATGAGCCACTGTTCACGCTTACTGCTATGTACCTCTTAGTCGCACATCAGTCCTACTGGACTTAAATCAATCTGTCTTTTACGCAAAATAATCCTAAATGATATGTTTGATATAAACGCGATAAACAAGTAATTAATAGATTATAACAACATTCAATAACGGATGTATATTACTATATATCATTTACCCATTGAGTGAATCAAGATTTCGTGTTATTTGGAAAACCCCGAGACGTTTGTTGTTATTTAGTACTATGAACCTTTGTAATCTCGATTGAATTTGTTATAGATTAATCGATCATGTAGACTTACGTTAATTCCCTTGTTCTACTGTTTTGAAAAGTCTATAAATCATAATATTGATATTATTCAGTCACAACCCCTTCATTTAAAATTAATTGCCTGAAACAATTTTAACATATGAATGATGCATTATTTTGGCAATGGTTGGCATAATTTTCATACGAATAGTGGTTTACAGTCTTTCTTTAGTAGTGTTGACTTAGTATGATTTGTCTGACAAATAATGAATCCTTAGCAATATTTTAAAACTCGCGGACATCGATAATATTTTCTGGCTAGTTATTATTTAAAACATTCCTGACTTAAAACAATTGTGAGATGATAGTGAGATATATTAATTGAAAATAACGGTTTACTCATATCAATAACTGAGGAAAGCTCTACTAGTTTCTAGTACGAATGCTGCACGTTATCTACCCGATTGTTATATTTAATTATTGGATGTACTGCGTCATTTCATTCTATTATTCTTATGTTTATATCAATAGGACGATGACGTTTAAGTACACCTTTAGATAACAAATAGTTTTTATTTTTTAAGACAACATTATTCTATGTATATTGACTTTTATGAACAACTTTCAAAAGATCTTATGTATCAAAAGTTTTAGTCAATAATTTGAAAGCAGTTGGAACCCACATATCATACAAGAAAATAATTGCGCGATTATATTTAAGAAGCCCTTCCCCCTCTTAACGATAGCGCAATTAAATGAGTTGGATCCGAAACTCACTAACCAGCAACATGGCGTCACCATTGTGTAGGATGCATCCTACTCCTATCGGGAGATTGTACTTTCCTACTCGAACCAGCCCATTCAAGTTGTATATACCACCAAAAAATTAATCTTATTAAATGATGAAACTCTTGTAAAAGGTACAGTTTTCCTTAAATCACCTGATTCAAGTCAAGTTACTAATAAGATATAATCGTTAAAATCTGTTAAATCTAGGTAAAGCTTATTAATAAAGTATATCAACCTTATTAGATACTAGTGACCCGCCCCGGCTTCGCACGGGTGCAATATGCATGTATTATACATACAAACCTTCCTTAACCCATTTGGCGCCTCTGTACCCAATTGGGTACAGCTAATTAATTGAGGGTAGACAATAAATTTACTAATCTATATTTGTTTTTTTCGACCTATAATATAAAGTGATAGTTCAAGCATCAAACAAATCACAATTTATGTGGGTATATTCATATAATCTGTCACAGTGAGGATTTCAACTTTACGATATAATCGTTTATCGAGGTAAGTTCACTAATATAATAATTTTTTTGTGTTTTCATAACCTAAGTTTTTGATATATTTTTTTTTTGTTTAAAATAAATAATAAAAAACTATTTAACAATTCGTATTTACCAAGTTATCGTGCTTGAAAGATCACTGTACCCAATTGTGTACAGCGGCCGAATCTATATAACGGTTGTGCTAATTGTTCTAGGATTTCGTTACCATGAGTTCGAGAAATTTTAACGTTTCTAACTTTTACAAAGGCTTAGAGGAAGCAGTCAATACTGTTTTGGATGAGAGTGACAGTGATGGCGAATATGACTTTGCTGTTATACCGCCAGAACCTAGCGTCGTTACAGATGAAGAAGAAGGCGTCGACGAGGACATGGTTACCGCTACTTTGCCGCAGGATGTGCCTGGTAATATTGAGGTTTTTAGAGCCAACGAAGACATCATTCAAAGTGATGACAGCAGCGACGACGAACCTTTGGCAGAAAAGACAAAGAGAAGGCGACAGCAACTATGTCAGCCTGTATGGCGTAAGTGTTCCCCTATATACTCTTCTACGACTGAAGAAAGATCTGATGTGCAACAAAGACAGGAAGCAGTAAAAGAACAGCTCGGAGAACTTAGTCCCGTACACATATTTGAAAAAATTTTACTGTATGATAATATACTGTATGATAATAAACTCTACTGACCCTTTAGGATCAAGAGTAGTCAAATCGTTATTACAGAAACTGAGGACTGATCCAACAAACCATCAAATATTTTTTGATAACTTTTTTACCAACTATAATCTCTTATTCGAGCTGAAAAAAGAAGGGTACCGAGCAACTGGAACCATTCGAGAAAACAGAACGAAGAAATGCCCTCTGAGAAACACTAAAGATATGAAGAAAGAAGATCGTGCTTCATATGATTACAGGTTTGATAAGCAAAATGAAATATTATTAGTGAGATGGAAGGATAATAGTGTTTGTACAATGGCGACAAATTACGATACCATTGAACCACTGGGAGTTGTAAAGCGATGGTCTCCAACACAACGTCAAAAGGTTGATGTCAACATACCAAAACTATTTCAAACATATAATAAAAATATGGGGGGTGTCGATGAATTAGACCAATCAATTGCACTGTACAGGATTGCTGTTCACGGAAAAAAGTGGTGGTGGGTTTTGTTTACCTACATGGTTGATATGGCGATTGCAAATTCATGGCGTTTGCATGTTCTGAGTCATACTGATAAAATGGTCCAGCTACAGTTTCGACGAGCTATTGCAAGATATTACTTACGCCAAAAAACAGACCATAAAACTCGACCGTCATCCTCAATAGTGCAAGGTTTGCCTCAAGATGGTGTGGGGCATTACCCAAAAAAGATTGAAAAACCATTGCGATGTGTTGTTTGTCACGCGAGAGTTCGTTGGCAATGCAAAAAGTGTATAAAAACATTATGTGTGGAAAAACAATGTTTTGAAATTTTTCATCGATAAACCGCCGCTGTACCCAATTGGGTACACCCCTCTCCTGAAAAGCCTAATTTCTTTTTTCAATATTTTTTATTTTTTTATGCTTATTTGATTCATAGACAACATGAAAATAAAAGTTTTGTAATAATACTACTGCTGTTTTATTTTTGGCGGTTAATGGGTTAAGAATCACTCTATCTATTAAAAAAAACCGCATCAAAATCCGTTGCGTAGTTTTAAAGATCTAAGCATACATACGGACATACAGCGAAAGCGACTTTGTTTTATACTATGTATTGATATGCGTGTAAATAAATGTGTCATCGACTTAACTGGCGGATATCGTTTAATTTATCGCTGCGATCACGTAGTCATTGAGTACTATCTGATTATAACTTATAGGCATTATTTTCTAAATAAAACTATCTGCGTTTAACGGTTTCACACGCTTGTTCTTTTCCTAAATATCGTGTTCCCTATGTTATACCTGCTTTGACTAATTACCTCAAGAAATAGTCGCTCCTCTCTCTCATCTTTCCTTATCCGTAGTTAGTTAGTCTCCCCTATTCTATCATCCTATCACAACACGCCTAACCTTGATATCCTCAAACAATCTATCACATCTTTTCCTTAGCCGTTCTATTTCCTTCGGTTCCTCCAAATTAGAATTCAGCAAATGCATCGTCACCGATAAATAATTTTAAGGAAAATAATATACCTACTTCACTGATATTGACAATGATCACTTGAAAAAACCCAAAAACTCTTATCATGGAACATCAGGATTACGAATTGAAAAAGAAAAATAAAGCAGTGGTAAACAGATAGTCATCACTATCTACCAAAATCGCAAGTAATCCAAACATGCCCCTTATCGTTACTTGTTCAATAGTGCTTACGCACTTGGAAATTATTTCGTAGCAAATAAGCTCGCTGATGATATTGATAGACATACAATTTTTTTTTTTGATGGTAAAAATCATCTAACGGATTCTCCCGCTTTGGATGAGACGAGAGGGAGTGTTAGACTCTTAGTGACTAAAAATCACCCAATTCCTACTCCTGCTCTTTGAGCTGGAGCCCCGGCAACCCGTTAAGTTGAGCATCAGCCCTATTGGGTTCCATCTGTGGTAGGCTGATGGCTGTTAGAGGCGCGAGCGGAACGCGATGCGCCATACGCTCGAGTTCGAGTTTGATTTACGTTTAAAGTATTCGAAACCAGTACGCGTTTGGCAATCTGATTGGCCGGCGCCAATGAACCAACCAATCAGAGCGCCGGACGCGTACTCGATACTATTACTTTAAGCGTAAAACAAACTCGTATTAAGGCCTCTGGTGGGGCAGCGAGCTATCCTTGCTCGCCGTACGCAGGCCCGACCTTACAGTGGCCGGAGATCGCCCGGCGATCTCCGGCCACTGATGTTTTATAGCCTAAAGCCATCCTCGATAAATGCGCTATCCAACAAAAAAATAATTATTAAAATCAGACTTGTAGTTACGGAGATTAGCGTGTTCAAACAAACAAACAAACACACAAACTCTTCCGCTTTATATAATAGTGTAATATATAAGATAAGATTTAGTCTACAGGTCACATTAAATGAAGCGGTGTGATGCACTTGTTGAATGGACTAAACTATTCTCTATAGTTGTAACGAAACTAATCTCTGATTTAATCAACATAACATGCCCCATATTGTTTTTTAAAGCTGTAGTAAACCTAATGAGAATCTTTCAAACGTGCTTTCTCTTTTCATATTCATATTCATTGAATCATTTGTAAACATTACATAATATACAGGTGATAACAAAGTTTACAGTTTCTCCATATTTTGCCTTGGCATTGGCATGCAAAGCTATGTTATAAATAAAATATGTAATAAAATTAGGTTTATTGAATTGAATTATTTTAAAACAATTGTGTAAATAATAATGTTAGAATACAATACTGTCGAAGAAAATAGAGTTATTCATACCACTGAAATCAAAAATAATGTCAAATTAGATATAATAATGTAAAAAGGTAATTGACAATTATAAATGTAACACAAGCAAAGTCAAATAAATTAAGTTAATCATTGACCATAAGGATTCCACTCGAGATAATCTTTTACAGTACATAGTTTCCATTAATGGTTAGATTAAATTCAAAATTTACCACCGAATTTAAATCATAATGTATAACCAAGAATTTTGACGTGTTATTAGGCAGAAGGTTATAAGATAAAGAAAGATCCGCAATGACTGCATAGGGCGATATAAAAATCTAATTATTTAACCATTGACGTAAATGCTTGATGATAAATATATTATTGTAACGTTAATACACAAGCTTACGACTAAGAATTAATTAGTGCAGCTTAACTAATTATCAGATTACTTCGATAGGTGCGTCGGTTACGGAGACACAACGCGCGGCTTCGTGAGGAGTCTGCGAGAGCAGTGTGGCAGCTGAGACACTTCACCCAGTGGCTCAAGAGGACCGTCGACCGACAATGAGACTACAAAACAAACCTACACGTCCAAAATACTCGGGAATAAGTATGGTCACAAATTGTCATCGAAGCCTTACGAAAAATAAACGATTTATGTAATTGGAGGGTTGTGAATAAGCGTTAAAAGTTGATTGTTTTTACCTAAAGTAAAAAAAGTATGTTAACATCAAACAATATGTCATATGAATAGTATTAAATACTAACACATGCTTCATGTGAACATGAACATGAAATCAATAATACGTTTTTCTTAACGCAAGCGTCTATTTATCAGACTGACAGAATCTGATGTTATTTTGATATCGTTTTATAGAAATCTCTGTATAGTAATACTCTGGTGTTGTTTGACCCAAATTCAAATAAAAGTAATCAATATATTTATTTGAAATTGCTTTAATAAATCTAGTAGATAATTATAATTAATTATTGCTATACCAATCAGAGTCAGATAACGTGTCGGAAATATACAATTAAAAGATAAGTTGTATTACAATCATACATTAAAATAACCGCGCTTGAAACGGCGGCTACACGAATAAATGCGAAAGTATATTTGGCATTTATTCGTGTAGCAATTATGGTAGCTGTAGTTTTAAAATTGTTATATAAAATAAAACGAAAGTTCAATTACAATAATTCTTATGAAAATATATGCCTAAATAACTGAATAGATGATAACAATGTTAAACATGCGCTGTCTTATGAATTTCGTGCCTTTTCCGTGCTTCTTGTGAAGCGTTTGTTTTGGCGTAATTTTTACGTAATATGTTGGTACTAGTATTCGTAGACTAATTTGTTATTACCTTATATATGGTATTAATGGTTGACGTTATTGTCTCAATTAAATTGACGTATTTACATATAATTGTTAAAGTCTCGTTTTACAATAACTATCTGCATTAAACAGACAGTTTATAAACAAAACGTTTTATGGGTAATATATATTATTTATTGCTATATGTTTATCGTATACTCTATTGATACTACGTAGGCTTTAATTTATTTATCGATTACAGTTATCTAGATTAATATGTCGAGATTATGGTTAATCGTAAGGAGAACCGAAGTTGTAAGTGAACACCAATTAGTTTAAGAATTATAGAATAAATCAGTCAAGCAAATAGTGGGCTTTATAATTAAATATTATATTACATAGACCTGTACCAAGTAACACACGAACATCACATTGTTCTAAAGCGATGTGTTTACAGCCCACCATCAATTTGATATGATTAGTCTTGTGACGTAAGTTATATACTAGATTAGCTGTATTCTAATTATAAACAGACTTGAAACCTGCCAAATATTAATACAATAAGAGAAAAATGCGTTAGCACAAATAGTACTCGTTTAAAATATGATTAAACTAATACATGGAATGTTTACGCAAGTTGAATATAGTTCATAGTGAATTCAACGTATGAAATTGTTAGAACTATTTTCGTTGTAAGTTATTCGACGTCCCAATCATGTTTATACTCAAATCAAATTGCGTACAAGTGAATCGCATCACGTAAGATACATCAATAGTTTTTGTCTTCGTTGTACTTTGTTTGTGTAAATATGAGTCTCAGTAATTAGATGTAATCACCAATAAAGCTTTATTAGTTTAGGTTATTGTAGGCCTTAATTTTATTTGGAACGGGAGAGACTTAATAACGTATTGTGAGCCTTTATTCTCATTGTTATCTCAGTAAATACACATAGTATATCTCAATTGAAACAACAAAACTGCATTGTAGGTATAATCGTTTGTGGAGTTGCCTTCGCCTTAATTAACAAATATATATTCTAAATGAGATTCTCAAGTATCTAAAACAAAATATTAGTCCTATATAGAAATAATAAGCTGTGAAAATATGAGAACCTCAAACATTACATATATATTCAATTCTAGAAGAAACTACGAAGATACATTAACGAAATATTGGTGCACTATTTCAGTCTTCCGTGTGTATTACCATGTTGATGTTGTGTGATATAGTTACTATACAAATATATATTCATATATATGGTTCAATTACATTTTTTGCACAAACAGTTAATTGTTATAAATAATATTCATTTTATATGTAAAACTAAGTATTTAATCTATTTATTTAGATCTTCGACTCCCGACGAAGTTGTCTCTCTCTATGAACACAACTGACCTTTACAAGAATTGTAATATTCGTTTTTTATTTTGTTACTCAAGTATAAGCTTGTAAGAATTATGTACCCGGGTACGACTCATTGTATTTTTATTGCGTGATAAGAACTGGACAAGTTATTTTCTCTATATAAATGCACGGGGTATTAGAATAGATACATCGTTAATAAACAGTCGAAAAGTAATTTATACAAGCTCATATTCTTATTTCGCAAGTTTATATTCTTATTTCGCAAGTTTATAGTTAATTTCATCATTTTTTACCATTTTTGACTAACTACCAAAATGATTTTGTTATGAAATTGTCGTACGCTCTACTCTGTTGTCGGCAGTAGTTACATATTTCAGTTTTGATACTACTTTTATTATTTGTACGTATGTCTATAGCCGTAACGTATTCTAATATAAATTATTTTGTATACCTAGGGCAGCCGATGGATGGTTTATATTCTGCAATTAGTAAATGGTAACAGTTCAAGCAAAACCGCTGTTGTATACTTTGATCGTAACGAAATCAAATGACCGAAAGACTCCCGATTGCTTGAAATACCATTTTCTAGTTACATATATACATAAACACAAGTTCGTATGTGAACCGTGTTAGAAACATGAATTTATATAAGTTTTCCCACCACTCATGTTTAGGATGTAACTAAGTTATTTGTTATTTTTTCTACATTGGAAGGCTTGCTCATATTTTGTCAAATTGAAATTACACAAACTCCTCACGTTATAATAGTAAAGCCTTGTTATTTCCCTTCGTTGTTCAAAAGTAATCATTTCTTTTTCACAAAATCTGAGCAAGTTTGATATCGCGATGCCTATTGTTTACTGCGGATAAGTAAGTAACCAAAGCGATTACATTTAACCTCCATATTTTTGAAATTTGGATTGTTTGCTCGTAAAGCTTAAAGGTTCAATTATTTAGATACATAATTTCCCTTAGATAATTTGTACGTATTCTAAAGGACATTCCAATAAAACTTATATACCAAAATTATGTTTTATTCATCTGCACACCTTTTTAACACATAAACAAATAAAATCAAATACGAACTTCTTCAATCGACTTCAAAAACAAGGAGGTGTTTAATTCGATTGTATTTTTGTTTGTTACTTAATTACTCGAAGACGCCTAGACCGATTACAAAATTATTTTTATTTGCAAGGGTAGGCTTGTCATTTGGTTCCATTGTCATCAAGTCAGGATCTGATGATGGAATCTCACGGGAACCGAGGGAAACTTGTGTGCGTTACCCAGGCCAGATGTTGTCGAAAATAGTCATTTGAATCTTATAGATAATTAGTTGTGCGGCTCCTGTAATTGTTGCGCACATTTTTTTGCGCTTATAGTTTTTACTGATTTCACAAAAACATTTCCTTCTGGAGTAACCTTACCCCAGCCAGACCTTTTTCTTTCTAATGGGAATATTTAAATAATTACTAGCTATAAAATTAGTTGTCTAGATGAAGTAAATGTTGTGCCTTGTTTTGTATTTAATCTTTCATCTGTTGCGAAGTTATTCGAGATTTTGCTGGAGTAACGTTTTTGATTTTGCTAGGTCTTTGAAATGGTTAAGCTGATTCTTAACATATTTTGTACATGGCTTCTTAGGAATTAGTTTAAATTTGTTGTGCAATTAAAAAACCAAAACAATACATAGCTTATAGGTTATTTCATTAAATAGAAAAACACTTCAATTGGTCCCAGCACTCTCAATAAGGGCTCTAAAGACTTACTTTAAACGTTATTTTAAAGTTATACGTTTGATTAATTTGTTTTAATGAGGACTTTATACTCAGGTGGTATGTGATTGCCAATAGGGTGGCTGATAATAAAATAGTACCATAGTTGAGGGAACTCCTCAACGGTAGTAGCTATCTTGTGTTTGGGTTTGATTAATTTGTATTGATGAGGACTAAACCTAGGTGTGCTGAAAGAGGGTCAGATGATGATGTAGTACGATAGTTGAGGGAACCCCTCAGCGGTTACCAGTACCTACCTTGTATTTGGGTTTAATATTTGTATGATGTGGACTTTACACCTAGATGGAGTGTGATTGTCATTAAAATTACAATTTCAAGTTGTTGCGGTGGTTTATTCGGTGGTTTTAATTTCACTAAGCAACTAGTCTGAAATAAATGATTTATTATCTATGTCTTTAACATTCACGGGACCACAGAATTATTACACGTAAAAATGGCAGGCGGAGATTCGCCAACTCACCGACCGGGCCCCGATAGTGGTTGCTAAATATAGCAACAGAAGGACAACGAGAATGTGAGTGGCTGAAGGTTTAATAACCCCCACCGCTTTCAGATCATCTGCGCCAGCCGAAGCCTCCTGCATCCCTAGCCCACTCGCGACTTACGAATAGTTTCTTACCCTCCGAGCAGGATCACTGCTCTTGCGACTCTACTCTGGACGGCCACTGAAGGCAAGCCGGAGAATAAGGAACGGTGACTTCTCCCTGGAGCACTCAGGATGATGGTAGCCCGCGGGGTTGCTAATGCCCGTCACCTCGCCTCAAGGTGCCCTGCGGGCATATTATTATTATTATTAACTCGTCGAGTACTACCGTCATTATAGACACAATTATAGAACAATAGGTTGCGGTCACCGGTGACCGCTTGGTGTTTGACAGTTTAAAGGTCTATAGATGAAGTAGTATGATAGCTAAGAGAACTCCGCTCAATGGTTAACTACAGCTACCTGGTGTTTGAGATTGAATCATTTGTATTGATGAATACTTTGCACCACATGTGGGTTGTACAAAATATAATATACTATTCTTGTACTAAACTAAAAAGTATAAAATAAAAATAAAAAAACTGTGATTAAAAAAAACTGGACTTCAAAAAGTAAAAACAAACAGAAAGTAAAAAAAAACTAAAAAGCAAAAAATAACTATTATTCATCATACCTACTTATACTTCCACAGTACCTACACACCCACTGATAGGTTAGAAATCGGTGCCACATGTTTTAAATAAGATTATTCATTAAAACCTTAATAGATAACGTTTGCATATTGAAATATATCAAAATCTAGAAGTCCTAGCTACAACGATACTTTTATCACCTCCTTTTTTGAGGTGGGAAAATCATTCACCGTACGATCCCAGCGTACAACCTCCGGCAGGAGGCGTTTGCCCTCCGAGGTTGGGTAGGAGGCGCTTAAGCGTCGCTCCCATCCGTACCAACTTAAGAGTCAAACATCGGAAGTGCTCCACGAAGTTCCACCGACTGTCGAGGATCGAGGACGAGTCCTAGATAGTTCATCGTCGTCTCGATGCCAATGGTAACCCCTCCCGCCGTTATTTGGGACCCACTCCTTGACAGTGCAGACCTACTCCTGTAAAGACATATTTTTTGATTGAGGCACGAGGTGAGATTTACCTTGACAGAATTTCACCATTGTGTGACATAAAATTTATCGAAGTAAGAACGGGAATTAGTGGAGAGC